AACAGGAGCCACCCTGTTTCTCCTTAGTCTCTTGGGAGAATCAATCTCCCTATGCTATAAATGCACGCACTCTTCTTATGCTATTCATCATCCAACTTTATCCTCCTACCAATACTCTTTGACCTCTTCTTATCTTAATCATTGCTCGAAGTTGGACTACAAAGTGGCAGACGGTTTAGTATGAGTCAGAAATTTACTTCAGCTTTTTGGTGTATTAAAAACTCTAATGCTTAGATGAAGGCTTTATATCTACAACCATGCTAGCCGTTCTGTGTACTGTACTGTGCAACAGAGCTTTGAGCAAACTTCTAATATCAGCATGCTAACATGCTCACAATGACAGCTTTAACATGCTGATGTTTAGCAGGTATAATGTAACCCTAACCCTATAAAGACAGACAACCACTCACACTCAACCTAACCTGCATTTCTTTGGACTGTGGCAGGAAGCCAGAGTACCCAAAGGAAACCCACACAGACACAGGGCGAACATGCAAAGGTCCCCTTTGTGATTTGAACCTTCTTGCTGCAAGGCTGTAGTGCCAACCACTGTACCACTTGGCACCAAAATGCAGCAAATTAAAAAAATTAGATTATGGATTACAAGTTTGACTTATCAGTCTTATACATTAAAATAGCAGCTGCATACACTGAACGTGCTGTAAGGCAATGACGTCCCATGTCTTTTCTCCACAGTCTCAGGGAAGCAGAGAAATAAAAGGGAATTTTATTTCAGACAGGTATTTTACTCGAGAACCTCTGGGGGGCCTGTCCTGACAGTACTACTTCAGAACCCCCTGTAAAAAGTGAGGTGGGCTTGTCACTACCAAGTCCCCACGGATGTGTCAGAGAGCTTCAGACTTTTAACTCTTTATTTTTTCATCCATATTTATGTGTTTGCATATTTCATTTCCTCCTTTCTTACTTTGGGCAACGTTTATAATCAGAGTCCATCTGGTATTTAGTGGTTTCTCAAAAGATGGTGATTTAATTCTTATTTGTCGTTGCTTGTTTCCCCTGATGACTTTGTGAGAAAGGAATATTATCTTGTCCTTTGCTGCTTTAACTCACAGTAAAAGAAGTCCTAAGATATTGTACTCTGAAAATAATAGAAGCTTATCTTTCAGTTAAAAAGAGCACACACAAATGTCCTTCATAATATTTAGCCTTTTTCTGGTTGCTATGATTACATTTTGATTTGTTAGCATGATAGATAGGTCTTTGGTGCCGCCCAGCCTCATTTTAACTTTCTCTAACTGACTGTGTGTAGTAATTAATCATCAACGCTGTACTTAAAAGATTATTAATATCTTAATAATAGACAGTTAATTCTTGCATCGGAGACAGGATATTATGCTGTTTTTTTTTTCTGTATTTCACTGAGTCATTTCTCTGACTACAGTCAGTATCAGTCTGTTTTTTCCTTACATAAAATTACATCAGGTGCCTACAACATTCCCAACACAAAGAGATCTTCATTTATTTCTGTCATGTATATCAGGTTATGAAATGCTGTTAACTCTCCATGAAACAATTTGATTTAAGTCAACAGATTAGTTTCCTCCTCCTATTCTCTATTTTCTATTCTCTTCTGCCTTTCTGTTTTCTAAATCTTCCTCTCACTCAGCCTTCCTTTCCGTTTTCATGCATCAGAACAGCTTGATGGTTTGACAGGATGGGTCCTAGAAACTTGCTGCCTCTCTCCAGACCCTCCGAAGTCTCTGCTCCCTCACTGAACTGTTATCTGCCCCATTTCTGGGCTTTTCCATGGCAACTAGGAGCCAGTGAGCATATGAGTGAAGAGTGAATGAGGTCTCCAGTGCAAGCAGTGTCTTGTCTCAGACAGCTGTCTGCTAAAAAGACAAAGAGAAGTGAAGAAACAAAGAGGAAAAGAAAAGTTTGGGGGAAGTTGCTTTCCCCCTTTAGCATGAAAAACAACTTAAATGGATGTAAACCACTGCACAATGATCTGCAGATGCATTCAGTAAACCCTTTGACCATTTTCAGTCCTTGAGTCATTGCTCACTGCAACGATTAAAAAAAAAGAACCACTAACACTGCTACGCCAATGAACACATAATACCGTTTTCTTATGATTGACTCCGAAGCAACCTGTTCACTTGACGCAAGCTGTAACCACTGACTGACAGTCCTCAGTGGAAGTAACCCACATTTCACTGTATTTTAGGCTTAATGTCAGTTGTAAGGCCTTACCAAAACATATGGTTCTCTCCTCTTGACATGTATCAAATGGAGCCTGGTTCCCTGGAAAGCTAAGATGTACATTTTCTTTCTTTATTTTTTTTATACAAGAACCTCTCTTCACAATCCTTAGCCCCTCCTCTCCAGGCTATTCTCTCGGATGCGGAGCGACAAGGCGACTTTAAAGTCGGGTTATGCCTGCGTCTTCTGTAGGATTACACCAGAATCCCAATGGTTTTAAACAGTCACACTCTGCCACTCAAAGCAAGACATTTTTGTTTGGAGCATTTATTAAAGCAGCTTGGGAGTCCGTGGTGACAAGTGAAGCGTTTTGTAGAAACGAAATGGAGGAAAGAGAGGAACAGAACTCAGCAACGAGGGTTTTCCTTTTTAAAAGTTTCACTCTGAAGACTTTCATAGCCTTTGTCACTCTGTTTAGAAATATAGTCACAAACAGCCCAGGGACACGGCGGCCCAGAGGACTGTGAAGGAACAAACAGTCAGAGGCAAACAGTCAGAGGCAATCTGTCAGTAGCGATAGCCATGACTTCATAGGAATGTTTTCCTAGTAAGACTGTTACGTGGGATGGAGGAAAGGGGCCCTCCCCATCTTTAGCGCTTGTAAAAGGGCTGAGTCTTTCCTTCCTACATCCAACGTAATCAAGAGGGAGGAGAGGGCAGGTCATGTCTCTGAGTACAGAAAAGAAGCATTACATGCTCATGGACCAAGGGAATGCCAAAAATAAAGCACAGTCCATTTGGCGGAAGGTCATCTTTGCTTTCTTGTGCATGTTTTTCATACTTTTCATCAATGCAAAATCTAAATGCCGAAAAAAATAGTGTATCATTTTTGCAAGTGCATCTGAGGGCATCCTTGTGGCTTAAACCTCCAATAACTGATATTTTTTTGGCCACTCGGGTGCAGCAAAACAAGTTGTGAACACAATATTGACATCACTTTTAAGTTGATGTGCTGAACCTGTTAGCAAACAAGCATGTTTTCACATTGTCAGTTGACATAATGTATAAAATGATGATAGCCACTTCAAAGTAATGGAAAGAGTTTATAAAGGTAGCTGTGTTTCAATACAGAGAACTTCATCCTGTATATACGTACTATGTAGTGCATAACATAAAATTTCTTTGGTTTTGGAAAATATCTATGTCCCTAATGAAGATGTAATTTACAGTAATTTTAAGATGACTTTAATTGTGTGTGGGATCAGCATTCAAAATACTGCACAAAAGACATATTATCATTGTCAACATCCCAAAAGCTATTATGTGCATGTTGCACACTGGTGTGTCTGATTTGGCCTTAGCCAGTTCTTTCATTCCACCTAGAGTAAACAATAGCCATTCTTTTGTTCATTTCACCATTAAATCTATTCAGTGTTTAACAACAAGCTAACAGTCAAATGCTATGTGCATGACAGCATTGTGTCGCTCTGTCCATGGTTTCCCCAGTGTAATTCATTGTGTCCAGCTTGTGAAAATAGAGAAGCGCTCTCCTGCAAACTGCCTGCTCTGTCAGCTTTACAGTGTTTATCTATTCCTTCTGTCACTCCCAGCTCATCGGCGAAATGGTTGGTGAGAGTATGGATCCGGTTCATGACAATATATCATTTATGACAAGTACACACAGTAATCTATTTTAAACAGCAGGCTATGATGCTGATGATGCATGACAGAAGAGGGTATACAGTACACCCACTTATGGGCGTGCATATAGATAATCAATTTTCATCATTTTAACCACTGTAGGAAAAAATGAATCTTTCCAGGGGCTGCTCAGTATTGTAGTCTTTGAACTTATAATGAGTAATATACATTGTGAGTTTCTGTATCGACACCCCTGACGGTTTTAGAATACTGGAAAATCAGGCGAAGTCTAAATTGAAACATGATGGTGGAGATGCTTCTAACATTTAGTTGACATTCATCTTATTGGTCAGAGCACAAAGCACTGCTGTAGTTGTAGTAGTGAAATAAATAATGGAGTAAAAATTGAACTGTATCTACTAAATTAAGGTGAAAAATGAATCCGGGTCAGACAGGGCCGAACGGAACACAAGGGTTTAAGTTAGTAAATTAAATTTAGTTCCCTGTGCTCTAAGGTGCTGTTCCTTCCCACCCCGTTTTCCATCTTTTTCTGCCTCCCTTTCCCAGTATCCCATCATCACCCTCTCATTGCTGTGCTCTCAGTGGTAGTCAGCCCATGAATTCCAGACTGTTCTTTGGAGATATCTGTGAGCTTTCTTCTTGCTCCCAGACCCTGGTGATACAATTTCAATCTGCCTTGCGGTTTGAAAGGGGCTGCCAGGTGCTTTTGGCTCAACCATATGTCCTCTGCCACTCTGTTTGACAGTGGGGTGGCGTTTTCAAGATGAAGCTCTCTGGAGCTACCTCTGAGAACTACTCTCCCTGAAACTCAGTTGGCTGACATGTGGCAAAAACAAAACCCATCAAAACTAAACCCCATCCATCCTTAACTCCTCTTTGCACTAGCCCTGAGCGTGGTTCAGATATAAGGATGGCAGTGAGTTTTTCAGTGGGTCCCTGTGGGGTCAGAAAAATGGATCCTGTTTCACTGAGCCTATTGGCTTGGTGTGGCGCAGTGACCGCAACGCCATCTTTGGCTCAGAGTCTGTCAGTCAGTCACAGTCTGCTGGTCCGCAGCTCCAGTGGTCAGGCGGGAGTTCAGCCTTTTTTTGTGTCTTTGTCTGAATGTTTCTCTGACTGCCAGACACTTCTTCCAACTCTGGAACCTCTGTCTGTGTCTCTCTGTTTCCGATCCAGGGCTGTGATTCTGTGCTGAACTGGTCACACCGTCAGTCCAGCCGCTGCTCCTGCCTCCAGGTAAGGCCTGTAAGCCCAGTGATAGTTCTGCTAGCACAAAGGCACAGTCAAACACATACATACACACACAAACATCAGAGTTTGAAACCACTTGACAACACTTAACAATAAACAGCAGCCTGTGTCTTACACTGCAGAATAGCGGCATACGCAGCAGCTAAATGTCCCCCTTGATTTGTATACTAAAACTCTCCAGTGTAAGACAGGCTGTTGTTTTTTGTTAACAGAACAAACAACAACAACACCAGGGATTCTTATGCTGAGACTGACATGTGGGACTGGCTGTCCCTTATCATGTGCAGAATCTGTTGTGCCATTAGTTTGTTCACATCAGCAGACACACATTTTTCCAGAGGTCCATGCATCCCGGCAGTGTCCTGAAGTTACCAAGACTGCAGGATATATTGTCTGACAGACTGTAAATGTGAGGAAGAGGAGCCTTCATCAGCCATCACCTCTGTGAGATGAAAGGCCCCGAAAGCAGCCAGCCACCCTGCTGGACACTGCTCAGCTGTTATAAGAAGTGTTTGACAGGAATGGCAGGTACTTGACCTTCTCTCCAGCGTTTTCTCCCTCTCACACTTTCTCACTTTTGGCACTTGTTCTGTGTCATAGTTTCACCTCGCAGTCTCTTGGGGGTTGTCAGGGGGTCCCAGTCCTCTGTACTATTCCTGCATTTGTTGTTTTTTAATTCTCTTTATTTTTAGTAAATACAGTAGAGGAAGCTTTGCAGTGGTGTTGATCTTGCTGGTGTGCAGTCATGCATTCTGTGCCATATTACTGCAGAGGTTCGGGTCCCGGGTCTCAGGAGAATTTGTGGGTGTGTGGATGTCAAAGGTCAAGGGAGAATGAGGGAGAGGAGAGAAATAAAGGGGGAGAATTGCTGCTTTGGGGATAAGTAAAAAGCAAAGGATCAAATTACATAAACATGGGTCTTGTGTCTGATGTGGAGTTGCATGAAGGATAGCATTACGAAAACATCCACTGGCTACATCAGGGGAGATTTACAGTGGCAAACATGGATGGTTGCCTACTGTATTCTGAGCCTAGATCTCCATGTCTGGGTGTGGAAGGCAGTTGAATTTTTAACAGCCTTGATGCACATTTCCATTTTTCCGGCAGACAGTGTCCCATGTATTCATCTCTCCTAACAATGGCGAAATGTCAGCATACTTTCAGGCTGCTCTAAATTAAACATTCATTCCCTCTGAGTATACAGCTATAGAGCTGTTCTTGCCATCCCCTCCCACACTATTTTTCTATTTTCACATGGAGGGCTTTGGCTAAACGAAGAACAAGACACTTTTTCTCACTTTGGACCAGATGGTAAGGGTGTAGAGTAGAGCATTTAGATTTTTTGTTTGTTAGTTTACTAATATACCAAATGACAATTTTCTGGCTTACTGTCATGGTCATATCCCAAATGTCCCAGGCCTCGATATGTACAGCGGCCAAGAAAGTTGAAGACGAGACTTAGAATGGGGAGGGGGATATTTTATTAATGCAGACTATTAATATTCCATCGCAGTGGGACGATGGCGTGTTTCTTTTCCAGAAGCGTAATGAATAACTGAGCACCTCCATGGTACCTGACTCCTTAGCATGAATATTCAGGTGCTGGTAGTGTATCATGGGAGTGTTGAGAGTCTCTTCTCTACCCTGTAGTGGATCACACTTGAGCATTTTGTCTCACCTCTCTGTTCGGCTCTGCTTCCTCCCATGCATGCTCCAGCATGTGACTAAAGCCAGTAGCATCTGGGGACCAGCTATAGACCTGATACCCGGCCCTCCATAGAGGCTGGATTGATTGATTGCACTGTTGTGGCTTTGTGTGGGTTTTTAATTGATTGATTAATTGTGGGCCTGGACTGAGATGTGATTGATTATGAGTAGTGAGCAGCGGGTTGGAGACAGGCTGTCAAAGCCCACAGGGTGAGAGGTGAGCTCATATGGCTCATGTAATATGTTTGTGCTTTTATCCAAGAATCCCTCTTTCACCTCTGATGCTTGATACAGTACAGCCAAACTTTGCCCTTGCCCCGGTCACATCTCTGGAGCATGTTTTCTCCTTATTGTCAGTGTCTATGTGTTTGTGCTCACGTGTGGTGTTGCCTGGAGCTCTGTATGTCCTGTTCTTACCAGGAGAGTGTTCAATAATGTCAGGTCTGTGGCATTCAGCAGATACAACAAAAGGTTCCTTACAAACCTCAAAGATTTATCTCTCATAGAGCAAGGAAATAGAAACAGTTCAAACATAAAGAGAAGAGGAAGAGAGCGAGAAGAATGGAGAATGAATGTGACAGTGATCAGGGAAAAAGGAAAGTGACCCCACTCCAGAAACCTCTTTCAGATATGACAGTGAATAGGAAAGAGAGAAAGAGAGAATCCGTTTGATAACCAGCTAGGGCTGACTGTTAAATACAGTCACAAACATTTCAGCACTAGACATGTTATTTACAACAAATGATAGACTGTCCCACTGGGCCAATACATAAAAAACCCACTCTGTTTATTATTTTTATATTCCCAGTGGGCTGCTGTTGGGGCCAGTTAGTCCGTTGCAACCAAGGCACAAAGCTTAGATGCATCACAGCCCTTTCTTTAGGTTTCTTTCAAATCTGATCAGTGTTGTTTCGGGATGTGTGACAGATGAATGAATTAACAATAAACCAAACAGGGAACAAACAAGCACCAGAACAAATGAGCCAACAAGAACAAACAAGCCAATAAACAAATGAATGAACAAATACACAAATTAATGAATGGACTACAGATTCTAGGATGGGAATGTGGGTGTCAGCTGCAGACTATCTGTTGTCTCCCTAGACTGAATCTTCATTCAAAGTGAAGGTTCTCTCCATGCCTTTGGCTTCTTAAAGGGCAGGATAACAATCTTGATGTTTAAAGGCTTTGTCTAATCACTCATCAAACTGGGGATAAATCAGAGACCTGCACTTGTTGTGATTTATATGCTGTTGATGAGACTGATGTCATATAATTCTAAATGTGGCTGCAGAATGGACAGACCCTGCCATCTAACTGTGCCTTCCGGCCACTCTGTTACTATCTGTTCATTCACAAAGAAATGTTTTTTGTCAACCTGTTTGACTGAACCTGTCACTGGGTAAAGCTGATCAGGATTTTGATGTGTTCAGTGTGAGCACCAATGTCGTGACGAATTCTTTGATCGTTTCAGGTTCCAGTTCTGCGGAAAGGCCAATAAAAATGTATAGTCTAAGTAAACACAACATACAAGATTAATAAAACCACATAGTGTCTGTTAAAATATTCTATGCTACATTGCCTTCCTTTGCCCTTTGAAAAGTCAACATGGATCAAAACTTTTTTGCATCTTTGCACTTGGCACTTTCGTGCTTTCTTGCCCTTTTAAACTGAAGATTAAAAAGCAAAAATAACCCCTCGGTCACTAGACTGTCCCCATGTGTGCTACCTGACTGATCTCAGACTCTTTCTGAGGCTTCTGATATTAAACCTACTGTTAAAGCAATGTGACCACACTCAGAAGGATCTCTGATCAGTTAAATAGATGTGTTTAACTGATTCAGCATATTGAATTTCAGCTCGCCATTTAGCTAGAGGAAAGAAATACAGAAATCTCTATAGTGAAATAGCCAAATCTGTTTCAATTTTGACTGAAAAATGTGAGTTTGTATAGGATCTCTGGTTTATGCACATCTAGGTGATCACATGGCTGATGTCAGTCCTGACCCACTCATGTGCCCCTCTCTCGAAAACAATTTTCACTCTGTCACCAAAATGTACCATTGGTTTCATGAACAGCTGCTGGATTTGCTTGGGCAATGCAGACAAGAAAGGTCCTGTCATGTATTACAGTTCAAATGAACACCATCAGTATGTAGCCTTAGATCTGAGCTATGATGGATATGCTGCTGAAATTAGATCAGACTCTGACTTCTTTTACTCTCCAGTCAGTGCTTTGTCTTACATCTGTAGCCAATAAACAACAGTTACAGTAGCCTGTTTGCAATTCTTGTCAACATTTCTTAGGTTTTAACTGGAGATTAAAATCTTTCTTGATTTGAGCTGTATTGTGTTATGGCATCAGCAGTTTCTTGTATCAGTATTTTTTCTCAGTTGTCACTTTACTGCTTACACTGTAAAAATGATATATATTTAGGTCTAATTGCTATTTGTCAGCTACTGGTGCACTCCATTTGTCTCTTTTTTCCATGGATTTTTAAAGATGTCTAACTATAGTTATTTTAATTTTCCACAGGCAATACTAGATGGTAGTCAGGTCCTTTACTTAGATACCAATATAAAAATGTAAAATGACCTCATTACAAATGAAAGTCCTGCATTTAAAATCCTACTTAAATCAAAGTTAAGAAATATTATCAGCAAAATTTATTTTGTATCAACAGAAAGGTACAAAAACCACATTAGATTGTTAAATTGATGCAACAATGTGTAAGCAGCATTTTTCTGATACAGCTGCTCAAGGTTTAGCTAGTTTAGTTAGTTCAGATACAGTTGGGTAGTTTTTGTTTGTTTTTGTTCATTTTTTTCCAACTTAAGGGTTACAAGAACGTTCTGTTACACAAATTAGAATATTTTGGGTTTTATCAAAACTTTTTTTGTGAAATAATGAATAAGCCATGTGATTTTTGTAAAGAGTCACAAGCCATATCACCATCTGCTGTTTTTTATAAGCTTATTGCATGTGTTTCTGTGTAAAATGTTCATCTGTTTGGTACAAAATGTGGTGACTATATGTGTCAAGGCAATGTAGTGGAGGCAAAAGTAAAATATTTTCCTCTGAAATGTAGTAGAGTAGAGTAGCAACAAAAAGTAACATAAAAGTACAAATACCTCGAGGTTTACGATTTAATGTAGTTCCGGACTAAATATACTAAGCTGCTTTCCACCACTGTTCATAACTTGTCTTTACAACAAGACAAGTGTGAATGAGTCTTGTGGTGCTTTTAGGTGTTGCTTCACACCGTGGAACAGCAGGTGCATCAGGACTTGGTTTTGGACAGCCTGTAGGTTCCCTCTGGGGCCCGGCAGCAGAAACAGTAATAGAGTGAATGCTACTAACCCTTCCCGCCTCCATTAGACACAGAAACTAGAGGATTACTGCCAGGGGCAAGGCTAATGACTGTCATGGCCACAGAAAGCCGATTTACTGAACCCGTGGCAGGGGAGGCATGAAGCCAAAATCTCCAACTAAGACCCAGTATGAGGGACCTTAATAAAGAATACACTCCTCTCTGCTCTTTCTTCAGTGAAAAAGTTGTAAAAAGCACAAAGATGAGCATCCCTCATGTTATTTTCTAGCAGCACTTAACAAAAACTAAAAAACAACAGATACAAGCACCTAGGAATTCACTGGAAATAAAAACAAACAAATGGTGATTAAATTTCCTGATAGATCCACATAGGAATGTTTTGTAAATATCTAATTCTTTTTAATATTCTAACTGAAGGCGTACTGTAGCAGCACAGCAGGAAAAAAAAGTCCCATCATCGCTAACTCATCAGACGCAAATCATTAAAAACGATGTTATAAGTGAGTGGGAGGATACAAACAATGAGTCACTTTCTTTGTTACAGGAGCAATAAGACTTTGAAATTAATGTGATAGACATGTTTATATGCTAATGTTGTCTGAGGGCCCACACAGGAACTTGTCAGCATTACTGCCATTACTTTGCAATATCACTTTCCAGTGTTTGGATATTGGTTGTTTTGGTTTGGCAAATAAACGCATCTTAGTTAACTAGGATGTAGTCGATGATAATAGAGGATGTATGATGGGACTTGCTCGGGGCTACACTTGGAAAGGCTATTTTGTGGCATGTTAACAAACAATCTACAGTGCGAAAAGCAGCGCTGAATGCAGTGGCAGCCATCCCTGCTGCCAATATGCCTTTATATTCCACATGACACTGTCGAGAGGCACTTCAGCTCAGTGACATTTAAGAATATCTGATGTGAGGAATTTCTTAGCGTTTACTGCTGCTTCTATTATTCCCTTAGTTTTCTTTCTCTCCTTCGCTTACACCTTCAGAGTTGTCCTCCCCCGCTCCCTTTCCTGTCTAAATAACATGCACATACACACATACAAGCACTTATGCCTGGGAATTGATTTGGCTAGTTCAGGGGCAAGGGACAGCGCTCAAGTTTGTACAAGTGATCTCTGGAGGGCTTTAGATGCAGGAGCCGCTCTCTTCTTGTTCCAAGTCGCTCTCTTTCTTCCACAACCTCTCACGCTCATGCTCTTCATGTCTTGTCTTCTTGCCCCTTTTGTTTTCTCTGGCTGAATATGCATTTATGGAATTGGAGTGAAGGCAAGGAGGGAAAGGGAGGATATTGCACTTCTGAATCTGCAAGTATGGGATCTCAACTGTGGAATTTGTGCAAAAAATTAGGGGAAAAGATTTTCCCCAGAGGAAGTATCTTGGTTGACTTGACAGTAGGACTTATGTGTCAGCTTGCAGATTAGTGCTTTCTCCAGTGCACCCTTTTGTGCTCTATTTTAAAGTTTAAAACTAGGAGAGATCACTTTGTACCTTTATTTAAATTATCCATGTGTGTTCATGTTATTCATCACTTAATCACCACTCTCTGCATATTTCTTTTTCTTTTTCACAATATCCAGACTATATGTAATCATCTTAAGCATGGCAGCATTTTTATACTGACAGTGGATCACATGCCTACTTGTATAAGTAAAACAAGGTCACCTGCAGTGACGAACTCACAAATGAATCTCTTAGTTCAGCTGATTGTTTTGATTTTTCTGGCCCACAACTTTAGTGTTTTGGTTCACTCTCACTGCTCATAGTACCACCTTTGGCTGCAGTAGGCAGTTGTTTTCAGAGGAAGAAGCTCTACAAACTGATTGTGTACTATACATGCTCAGCACCAAACAGCAAACAGACAAAGTAAGTGACCAGCAGATGAACGTAGTGGGGCATTTACCGTGGCAGCTAAAGAGCCAAATCTTTCCCTCAGGGGTTGGTAGAGACCAAATACTGAGTTAAGCAGAGGGGATACTGGGTTTTCATTTGCCCACATGCACAAAAATATGAATCCACTGTATCAGTTGTAAAGGTGATAATATGTCAGTGTTGGGTTTACAGTTGTCTGGATTTTAGCCAAATCCCAATCAGTATTTTTAGATTTTCTGCCAGATTTGGTTGTTGTTTGATGTTCAGGTTGAATAAGGTTATAACAGTCAATGATCTGGCCCTCAGACAACTGGACAGATTCCTGGCATTTCAGAAATTTTGGTCGGCTGTTTCACAGTGTGAGCAATTCCACGGTGCAACTTCCCAAATGGCTGCTGTCAAAAGACCCAAGCTTGCTTTTACATTATTGGAGCCGTGTTATACCTGCTGTAGCTAAAACTGTAGTCTTGAGACTGCTGAGATATGGAATTGGTCTTTGATGCAATACAGACAGACAGTATTGTTTACAGTTTGTCTGCTTGTTAAATTAACTTATAGTGAAATCAAGGGTATTCACAAAATATATCTAAGTCTAAAATTAGTGGGTTGTGTTTCTTTTGATGATGAATTGGCCTTAAGTGATAATATAAGATATTCTGACATAGAATGACTTTTTTTTGCAATTTAAAAACTGTACAGTATATCACAAGCTGGAATGTCTTTGCAGCCATCTGATGTATCACTGCATTTTCTGTGAAATCCTTGTATATTTGTGATGGAAGAAAGTCTGGCGAAGGATTACGGCGAAAACAGCAAACTGCCAAAATCTGCACAGCCTGTCAGAGGTTGGAAAAGAAAGAGAGGAAAAAAATGTCAAGAAGGAGACTGCAAATGAGGCTTGTTTCAATAAGGGGATCGATGGGGATATAGGAAAAGATGTTGTGTGCATTGATAAGTGTCCACGGGCAAACACAGGAGGTTAGTTTATAGAAGGAGGAGATGTTGAGTGATGAAGATACGGGTAGAGAAATGAAGACAGAGAGTGGCTCACGGCAGGCTGCAGATATATAGTTTGACAACAGGTTTCGAAAGCACTGGTTTTCACTGCACCTTGAAAACAATCAGAATCAGAAGGCTTTATTGTCATTGTACATATGTGTGCAACAAAATTATCGTTTGCTACTCAAGTGGTGTATTCACCATAAAACACACAACACAGGACATAAGATAAAAAAGGATAAAATGACAACATAAAAAATTTATTTAGTGGATCTCTACAGGCTTGATAATTATTTTTAGGCTGTTACCCTTTGTGTTGTTCAGTTCCCTGGCCCGGGCCTTCTGGTGATGTGATTGCTGGGGACAGCCCTTCAGCAGCTGTGCATGTCAGAGGGCTTCATGGGGGATGCACTTTTCACCACTGGACCCATCACAGCAGAGCAACCAAAAACCACAGTTTACAAGGTATGATAAACTTTATTTTAGAGGTATATTATGTATTAGCACTGCTTCCTCAAAGTCGCCTGTGCATGCACATGACAGTGTACTTCACGTGTATACACTACACCAGGTATACCCCCAAACAGGATGTAAGTTGTTATTCAGCTCCTTGTCTCGGTGCTACCTGCTCATAAGCTGAGATGCCACTGACCCTGGTCTTATGGGTGAGCTACTGAGAGGTTCTCCTTCTCATCTAGTCATGATGCCATTAATCACTGATAGCCTCTGAGGCTAGACCCTAACTGTAGCTCACTGTCTCAATTGTCTGCTGGATTGGAAACCAAAGAGTTCCTGTCACCTGTTGTGGTACTTTTATGATTTGGAATTATTATTATTGCGACCAGGTGAGCACACAGTGTCGAGGATATACAGTGTATATCAGGACAGTACAGGCTGTGGATCAACGGGTAATGGATTTTTTGTTTCTTTTAAGAAACAGTCCACACATTCAGTCATTTTTTTGATTGTTGTCACTGCATGTTTATCAGCAACTTGTGTACTGATGTGTTCTCACTGACAGTAAGACAGATTACTTGCCACTATGGCGCATTTTTTTTTAATTTCTTTTGTGGAATGCTGATGCCAGTAGGAGGAGATCTCTTTAAAGTTTCTCACTGCTTGCCATCCAGTTTTAAAAATAGTCGCACAAAGGGTGACATTGAGCCGTAATGGCACGTCAATTTTACGATCAGCTCTGTGCGGAGAAACCTTTCTGTCTTCATATCTATAGTGAGCAGAAAAATGTTGTTTGTCATTTTTGTCCACCTGGCTCATGTGTTTGTCATGTGGTAATCTTGCATTGCTGTGACTCCAGGTGAAAGAATAAAAATGTAGGCCTTAATAATGTTGAAATATTAAACATCTCCATTTGAATATGAGTCAGTAATCAGTTTTATATTAGGCCTATGCTTTCCTGGATTGACTTGGTTTGAAAACACAAATACTGAATCCTTTTTTAAAGCGATACACTAAGATCTACTGTAGGTGTAACTTATGTCTGATGTCACTGCTTTTGCTGAGTGCTGAAGCTTTTGATACCAAATTTTGAACTTTTCTCTTGGTTTCTTATCTCAACAGCACCATACTACTGCCAGTGTCTCCAAATAATGATTTTCTTATAGGTTCATGCTAATATAGCACCTTCAAACAGTTTGGGAATTGCTGTAGAAGTAAAGCCTTTGTAGCCAAATGTAAGACCACCTGTTCAGGAAACAACACCATTCTTAAAGGCAATGTTTGCTGAACTAGGATGGGGATAGCACAAGGCTCTAACAAGCTTCTAATTCAAAGGTCCTTTCCTCTCCTGTAGAGCTGTAGGGCTCTTGAGCATGTTGTTCACATGGAGACCCATCCATCTTCTTTTTATCCCAGATTACTCGCCCTCTTTGATTCTCACTCCCCCTCTTTGATTCTCACTCCCCTTGTAAATGAAGTGGGTGTGAGAGGGCAGGAAAGCGGTGGGCTGATGGATCTTATTAGAGGTGTTGTACTGATAATCAGTGAAGAGACAACACAATGGGAGGGCGAAAGAGGGAGGCTGGACAACAATACAGATGTCTCTGTTCACAGTGGCAAGGTGCCCTTGAGAAGAAGGAGACAGAAACGCCAGAGAAAGACAAAGAGGAGAGGAAAAGGGGGTGGAGGACAGTGTTGAGCGGTCTCAAATGTAGCAGTGAAGTCACTTTGGGTTATCTCCATCAGTGCGTCTGATTGACCAGAGAAGGCTATTCCACATGTGTGAGCTGAGTGAAAATCCATGTCTACGAAGCAATAAACGTTTATAGCCCACTCCCTCACCTTAATTCCTTTCACCTGGCGATCCATTTAGGAAGTGAAGAAGAACGCATCTTTATTTTTAAGTCATGGAACTCCCATATCTTCAGCTTATTTGGTACAATAACCACACAGTTCAGTTCTTTTTCCTACATTTCCTCTGTCTTTCCTCTATTTCTGCTAAAATAATATTTTTCTGTATGAGGATGCATATTTTTCATCGAAGTGATCGTCTTGTTTGTACTGAACAGTGTACATGCAGTGCACACCTCCTCCTAAGACAGCGTCAAAATGTCTTCCAGTCACTGCCGCCCTTAACACTGTACCTGATTCAGTGGTATACTGTGAGCTATGCTTCATTACCTACAATGAATAGAGCACTATTTGACAGGGAACTGCATGGTTGCTTGTAGGGAACAGGCTGTATGTCATACTGTCCCATCCCTCAATAGGATCATGTCCAACTGCCTAAATGTTTGGCCTGCAGGAGGAGCACAGGGGAGGAAAAGCAATGGTGTAAAGAATGAAAGGCAGATTTATATACAATGACAGGGAGAACTGAGACCTGTACTACATTTAAATGTTACATATACTGTACCTTTACTTACTTTAGAAAGTAACATAACATCCCCTGAAAATGTTGTTTTTAGTAGTAGTGATGTACAGTACAGGTGTACTCTGTGACTTCACTGTTTGCTGTGGTTGCAGCAGTATATCATACAGCAAAATAATATGGTAAATACATGTTCAACAACAACTTCACTGATAAAGCACATTTAAAAATTGAGTTTATGTGGGGAAATCTAGATAAAACAATTCAGCTCCATTATCCCCACTGTGTTTCCTGAAGAGGGTTGATGGGGCTGGAGTCAATCCCAACTGACACTGGGCAAGAGGCCGAGTCCACCTTGGACAGGTTGCCAGTCTATCACAGAGCTGACAATTAGAGACAGACAACCATACACACTCACTCACTCGTACGGGCAATTTAGAGTCGCCAATCAACCTAAACTGCATGTCTCTGAACTGTGGGAAGAAGCCGGAGAACCCGGAGGCAACACTTTCCACTGCGCCACCACGCAGACACAATTTAGCTCAACAAATTAAAATCAGGTCTCTGGAGTGTAACAGGATAGAAAACCCAGCAATAAAATACACAGCACAGCCACGTTATGTGTTGTCAGAGGAATGAAAATTACAGCTTTTATGCTACTTAAATAAATAAATTAAATAAAAGTATTGAGTCTTTTGCCAGTAAATTTTTATTTCCGGCAACATTTAGACTTTCATGTAGAGAACTAAAGTTTATACAGAATATGACTGTGTAACATAGTTAACTGAAGAATTATAAATGAGATATCCAAAAAATGTTTTGGGTCACATCATGAACCCATGATTCCAGTATGTCTGATATCTGGGCTACCAGTGTCCCACTCCTGGGAAGTGAGCGTACATTAACATCACCGTATATTATGATCGCCCCTCTTATCTCTTTTGTGGTGTGAACAAGCACTCAGGATAACTTTTTTGAGGTTGGAAGTTGAAGTGGAAGTTGAGGTGATCAGAAAGGAAGAGGAAGCATTTGGTGCTTGTGCAGAAGGTATTATGCACACCCTAGTACACTGCATGCTAGAGGAAACACACTGAGCCTATGAGCTTGGCTTTGTTGGATCCGGGCATAAAGCGATGTTGGTTACAGCTGGCATGCAGACTTTATGTATTCACACAGCCTAAGACAGTAAAGCAGCTGCAAACACACACATACACATAAAGACATTTATCAAAACTGATGTATTTCTTTTTAGAGTAACTGGAATGAAAACTGTGTTTCTATTTATAGTGATTAATGCACTTACACAGTGACACACCGAAGGTGATTTACAGAGCATGTTATTGATAAATTTTCAAACATTTAATCATTAATCGTTAAAAATAAGACTAAGAGCCCACAGCATTATAAGTGGCTGTGTGAGGATTTACTAAGGCACAATGTTAACATGTTAACATCTTCAAAACTTGTGAATGCTAACATGTGGGTGTTATGCTGCTGTAATGTTTACCGTCTTAGTTTAGGGTTTAAGTACAGTATGCTAACATTGGCTAATTAGCTCTAAATACAAAGTACAGCTGAGGTCGATGGGAATGTCATTAGTTTTTGAAGTGTTTAATCATAAACCAGAGGCAAAAATGTAGACCTCATGGTGGTGCTAGAGGAAAAACCATTGAGATTCATCATCTGGAAACAATGGATGCCTGTACAAATTTCACAGTATGTCCATAGGATTTAGCTTCTGGATTCATCCTCTGGACACCATGAATATTTGCTTAACATCTTCTGGGAAAACATCAAATAGTTGTTAAGATATTTCATACAGACAGATCGCCGCCCTCCATAAAGGTGCATGGCAAAAAAAAAACCCTGTTCCAAATACACATATTTTTAAAAATTGACTTGAATTCTTGTATTAGAGTCCTGTTTCTTACTTTATTGGACAGTCGACAGAAATGACCGAGGTTGCAGGTGGACTTCAAATTAGGGACATTCACAGTCAACTCTTTAAACCCATAGGTCACCTGATGACATTTTGGTAAAACAATAGTAATACTATAGTGTACAATGGACACACAAGTCTGATCTGCTCATTCATCAAAATATGACATTTATTAAGGCAAACACTACGGGAGAGAGCATGAGGGATTTTCTCTGTGTGCTTTATCTCTCAGGCCTCCATATAACATTGTATTCTGTCAGTAAATTACACATGAAAAAGAGGAATCATCTTATATGTGCATACTACACACACGTGTCATTACATATTTAACGCTGTTTCACAATGTATCTCTGGTGGTTGCTACAGTATCTGTGCCTCTGTTGTGTTGCCTCTCTCATCTGTTCCTCTCTGTTTTTTATTCTTTTCTCTAGAGGAGATTAGAATAGCAGAAGTCACAAGGGAGTTGCATTTAACTCGACCAGCTGCTTTCAAGAAATACCGATGGTGGTTACTAAAAACACTGATCTCTTGGTTAATGCTGATTCTCTTGAGATGGTAACTTTGGAATACGACAACCAGGAGGCTATGTTTTGTTAGATTCAGAGCAAAATGTGAGAAATATTACACCTTTTGGAAGGAAGTTGTACATCAAGTATACATTTATCTTCACATATAACCAGCTCTGTCAGACCTTAATAA